TCGATCGGCCAGCCCTATCCTGAAGAAGATTCAAGGTGTGTTTAAGAGTTCAGTGTGGGTTTGATGGCTGTCTCTTGGTTGGTAGCCAGAGATCCGGCCTACACAAAGCTACTTGATCATGGGGACTCGCTTCGGTCGGGCTCGCACTTCAGGATCCAAGCCCGAATAAGTTTGCTGGAAGCCAGGACAGGTTGCATTCCAGAGTGGAAAGCAGAGTACGGACATGGCTTGGGGTTGAGCGAAAAGCCCCGTTCGTTGCTAAGAGCAGTCTGTTGCCCGGATGGGAGCGGGCACCGCGTGCAGACGAACGGTCGGGTTAAGCATCGCCTTCTTGCTGCTGGATGTGTAGGTGTGTAGGCAGGCATCCACTTGTCACAGTCGTGCATCTCCAAAGAACTTGCTTCCAAAGTGCATGAGCGTCCCTTCCGGCTCTGTACTACTACCCAGACCTTCAATATTAAATTCAGCTCGGTGCATTTGTTGAAGGCGTGGTGGCTGACAACTTGACCAACCCAAATGCAACGTCGAGGTGGGGAGGGCTGCCTGCGCAGTGCATGCAGTTTGGATTCCTATACAGCACCTGCGAAAGACGACAGTGCATTCCACCACTGCTGCTGCTTGCGGCGCAGAGCGGCAATGCAGGAAGTCTGAAGGAGTGCGCCCTGGAGCGTTCAGCCCTGTTGCAACTTGCTACCATCCACCAAGCACAGTTCTAGTCTACAGCAAGCTGCCTCGAAATCGGAGACATTTCCGCGAATTTGCGACCGAAGCACTCAGACACGGGAAACCAAACCCATGCTGTGGCGGAAGGCAAAAGCTGGCGATGCTGTCCGTCCTCGCGCAATCCTCGCACTTCCCGCCGGAGTTCAAGGCAGCCCGCTAGCGAACTCGCGGAAAAATCCGCAGCCCCAAACTCTGGCCCAACTGCACACATCCTCTACATATATATACATATAGATATAACAAATATAAATGTAAATAAATAAATAAATAAATATATATATATATATATTTATTTATTTATTTATTTATTTGTTTATATAGATAAACAGACAAATAGATGGCCTTGAGGCTCGGAGGGCCTTCAGAGCTGCACCAAAGCACTGGACTGCAGAAGCACCCGATGGCCTAAATACTTTTAGTATGACAATATAACTATACCATAGTATTATAACTATAGTAAGATACTATTTTGGGGGGTTCCTTATTATAATTGTGGTATAACATATCCCAAAACCCTATTCTAATTATTAAGGCCCCTACAAAAGTGGCAACAAGCAATGGCCACAGGCAAAGCTTCAATCCCACCTTTTCCAGCATGCGAAACCCATTGGCCCGCATTGTCCAGGAGGTTTGCGCCGAGGTTTGCTCCAAGCCGTGAGCTCAGAGCGCATCCTTCAGAGAGACGAAGGGCTAGGTATGTTATACTGTAATTGTAAGAAGGAACCCCCAAAATAGTATATTATGATACCATAGTTATATTATTCTACTATATTTATATTATTATATTATTATGGGGAATCGGGAGAGACTTGGCGGTCGTGGTGTGGCCTTTCAGGGAGCTCGGCTGTCAAGAGATCCTGAGTTGCAACCCGTGTGTACTGTTTTGAAGACGAATGTTTGAACCTTGCGTGCTTGCTTAAACGGATTCAGATAAAGAGCCCCCTCAAAGCCCGACTGCCAGGCAGCTGGTGGAAAGTTGCCCCTAAACATAGTCGATGACAGCCACTTTTCATGCTGGCAACTGGAATCTCATGGTTTGGGGGTGATTCCGGGATTCCGCCGGACAGATGCAGCCAAGAAGCAGAATAAGTCGAACTCCCCAGTGACATGGGGTGACCCAAATGCACTCCAGCCCAACCCAAACTTTCCATTCCATGGGTCGAACTCGAGGCTGACAGACATGTTAAAGCAGCGCCAGAACGTGGATGCAGAACGGTGACAGCGATGTGCTATGACTTGCACTAGAATTACTCCTATCAGAACCAGACTGACAGTCTTCAAGTGCAGGTCCAGTGATGCCGCTCTGTCGGCCCTTTCCTCCAGCGACCTGGTCAACACGTGCTCTCCTCAGAGCGTCCCCAGTTGCTCCGACAAATCAGGTCGTGCTGTGATCTTGCCACGCACAGCCACGCGAAGATCTTTTCGGTGCTTTTCCTGCCATGTGGGGATCACAACCACACTTTCCCCTTGCTCCGAAGACCTGCAGACCGACTGTCGAGGTTCAATATTCACCTCTGCACCGTCTTCGACGGCCCTGCGGCCCTGAAGCATTGGATGACGGAGGACGCGGGTCGGAAGCTGAGGTTCATCAGCTTCTGCTTCGCCGAGCGACTCTAAATCCTCCAGTCTGCTTTCTCAGCGATTTGCGTACCTGTGCAGCTTTTAACATTGACTCAGACGGCTAGGACGGATCCCACAGCATGAGGCGGTGCGTTGCGCTACGTGGTTGGAGGTATGTTAGGTTCTTGCTTGTGTGCACAACCTGCGGGAGGTAAGTGCCCGGACATAGACATAGTCTGCCACGCTGAAATCAAAGGCACGGAAGTCTACGAAGATATGCATTGTTTAACGGCAGCCTGCCGGGTTCTGGCGTAGGTTTCGGCGTACAGAGCAGGCAATTGCAATCCCGAGCCCGCTTTTCAATGGGAACCTTGCTGCAAGCACACCCTTCAGCAAAACCCTGGACCCTCGACATAAACCTGGGCTCTTTCAGACTGTTCCTCTTTCCCTCGCCAAGGTATGAAGTCGTTCTTCCAGGCGCAAATTCGTTCATGGAGCCTGGAACAGAACAGCATCACTCTGTTAAGTATTACAGTAGCCTTGGCAAGAATAAGCATGCCGGCGAAAAAACAGCAAACCTGCCCCCCATCACACACTTGATAATTGTAGTGACGAAGTTGATCGTGAGGGTTTGACTACTGTAGCTATCTTGTACCAGCAGCAACAACTGCAAGCATGACCATTGTGCTTAAAGCCGTACCAATAACCCATCTGCATCACGCTAGGACATGAACACGAGCACGAGCACGGGTTCGAAACACCAGCACCAGCTTAGTTTGGCAGCTTCATGTGCCCACTAGCCAGAAAATGATCAGGCAGGGAATTGTGCGGCTTTCTAACGTTGAAACCATGGGCCCCTAGTATGGACCCTTAACAATGGGACCCTACATACCTACTATCTACCCCATACATGCATGCATGCAAACATACATACATACATACATACATACATACATACATACATACATACATACATACATACATATGCCCTTTAAGGTTCTTGGAATCCCCCTAAAAGGGTGTAGGAGTCCATATCAGGGGCCCATACTTCTAACCTTGGGGCCTTGTTCTTCCCGTGTCGGGGCCGCAGGTCCACACCTCGCAGAAGTGGTACCAGAAGCAAGACCAAGAGCTTGCTGCGCCGATGCCTCAGACATCCTCAGACGGTACGGTGTTGCTGGGGCATCTCGGTTTTTTTGTGTGATGCGATGCAGCTTCCGGGTTCGTTGGGATTTGTGCTCGGGACTTGGGGGAGACCCTGTTGGACATCCGGTCGGGAAACTTTACTGCCCAGCTTGACGGGAATTGATGGACTCTAGGAGCCAAGTCCGACATACGACTACCATTCTTATCATTGTTATTTCTATTATGATTATTGTCGTTATTGTTGTTGTTATTGCTATATGAGAGTCATAACATACGACTACCATTCTTATTATTGTTATTTCTATGATGATTATTATCGTTATTGTTATTGTTATTGCTATATGAGAGTCATTCCAGGAAGTGGTGCAGCTCAGGTTCTTGCAATCTCCGGTCTGCAAGACGTTGAGGCCGACCACGATTCTTTAGTATTCCATATGCCGGTTATTACTGGGAAAGCTGTGTCCCAAACTTTGGTCTAGCCTTACTTTTTGCCGAGTGCGATCGGAACTTCTTCATGACAGTCTTGGCGGAAGTACAGCAAGCTGAGGACTTTTTCCATGCGAGCAGTGAGACAGCCCTCCGTGACAATTGCCTATTCGCACAGTCCCGAATGCACCAAGCATCCTCATTGAAACCGTTTCGGTGCAAACGTCGGGCCTCGGGACATGTCTCCTGTTTTCCCAATCGAAACAACATGAGGATTCAGCAAAAGTCCCACTAGCCAAGCCTGTAAGTCGTCAAAACCCGTAAACGCCTCCTGCAGTCAGACGGACGGTGAAACGGATGCTTCAGCGCTAGATGCAGTACGTAGCTTTACCTGTATAGTAGCTACACGTGCTGAGAAGGACGCACTGGCACTAAGAACCTGAGGCAAGCGGCGGAGAAGGAAGGCTTAAACCTCCAGAACTGCGAGCCGGGGCAGGCGATCTGACTGGTTTTGTGGGACTCTCGAACTTGTGGGGTGTGCGTTTCGGGGTCGTGGGCTTGAGGTTCATTGGGCGGTGTCTAGAAGGGTTGAGGCTTTGATGCACGAACCGGGCAAAAAGGAACTGAGCTCAGAGCCGCCAAGGGGTTGACAAACCAATGTGTCTCCCCTTGTCGACTGTTCTGAAACACTGCTTGCATTGCAACGAAGAAGCTTGCTATGTTGGAACAAGCCTTCTGCATTCGTGTGGGCAGGCGTTTGTGAGCTCCGGTTGAGTTTCGGTCTTGGACGCAAAACACCGGATCATGGAACCACGCTGCAGGCTTGAGTGTTGTTGTTCCACGTTCAAGCGACTTGCGAGAAGGAGATAGTTTGTCCAAGTTTTGCATTTTTACATGTAGATGGCAATCCCGAGCAGCTGAGAGGATCCGTGCATGTCTACAGCATTCTGCGGCATCTCAGCACTTGAAGCAACAAGAGTTGGCACCATGGAAGATCATTTCAGCCGGGACATTTCGTAGTGGTCGCTTCCGCGGATCGGCGCGTGAGCCTTCTCGTTGTCCGCACCGCTCGGTTGCCAGCAGCACGTGAAAGTGGACCCTGCAAACCCCAAACCTGGCAACCTTGAGAGGTGTACCACCTCGAGATGGTTGAAGCGGATGCCAAGGATCTTCCTCACGGCTTGTGGGCGTCGGTTGGGTTTTTTGTGACCTTTTTGCTGTTGACACCCGGGACATGCCCCAGGTTCCAGGCTCCTGGTCGTGAGCACGGCTTGGGATTTGAGGTTATTTTTCAGTTTAGGTGTTCTGTATTGTAGCAATGATGTCGGGTCTCTTTGTTTTGTGGTACTGGCTCGGCATCATCCTTGCATCCTATTACCTTCGCCATCATCACCACAATCATCATCATCGTCNNTCATCATCATCATCATAGTCACACACACACACTTCATTGCGGCCACTGTCCTCTATCAGGTAGCTGGCTTGGCTGATGTGTGCGAAAACGTCCCCCCCTCACCGCAAGCCTCTGCACCCCTGCCAATCCATCCCCTCCCCCACATGGGCTCAAGTTAGTTGCTCGGGTGAAGGAGAGTTCGGAGTCGGGTTGGCAGGAGCGCTTGGCAGCCCTGTCCGAGACGCCGCCCCTGGCTGTGATCTGCATCAAGTCGAAGGACACGGTTCTTTTCCTGCCCAGCCCAAGAACTGAAGCCCTGCCGGAGGAGCAGCTGCGGTGGTACGTTCCGGTCACGGCGCAAATGGAGCCGAACCAGGACGTGCCAGCTCAAGACTGGAATGACTATCATCTAGAATCAGAACCTTGAAAGCCTGAAAGCTGTGGCTCTTTCAATCTGTTGCGCTTCCGTGCTGGAAATTGATGCAAGCACACCTCAAGCTTTGTCCAACTGTCTAGGTGCTCTAGGCCATATTATAAAAGCTATTTTTGTCGTCGTCGTCGTCGTCGT